AACTCAGGCCCCTGTGCGTGCCAGGCAAGCACTTATTCTACTGAGCCGTCTCCCCGGCTCCTGGTCTGAGCAGTCTTATGTTACTAGTCTTTCTGTCGTCTAGCAGCTCCTGCGTTGATTTCTCTTAGTCCCTTGCTGTTTTTAGGAAATCTTTCTTTTCAGCATCCCTAACTGCGAGCCTGCCTTCTGTGTCTGAGGTTGTGTCCTCACATCGGCTGCTGCTGCTGCAGATCTTGTCTGTGCAATCTGTGTTCTCCTGGATCTGCTTGAATCTGTTCTCTGGATCCATGTCTTTCATTCATGGCTTCCGTCATTTTCTTAAGCTCCTTTATTATTTTTTTAATCTATATCTGCTCTAAAGTCACCAGCATGGTTTTCATTGTAGACATCAACTCTGTTTTATTTTTTAACATTTATTTATTGTGTGTGTGTGTGTGTGTGTGTGTGTGTGTGTGTATGTGGCCAGCTCAGCCCACCAGGGGGCGCGGCTGGCTGGCATGTGGTGCTGGAGGATCGAACCGCTGTCCCTGTGCTTTGCCAAGCTTGTTCCAAGTAGGTGCTTTAGACCACTGAGCCATCTCTCCAGCCCCTCAACTCTGTTTTAGAGAGTTATTTCTGATTTGATTTTTTTTTCTAGAGCCTCACTAATTTGCTTTGTTGTTACCACTTCAGAGAGGCCAGGTGAGTGGCTGTTGGTTGTCCCTCCTCATTGCCCCTGGGTTTGCCTTTGGTGACCTGGAGGTCTGGGGTTGCATGCTGTCTTATGTGTCTTCTCACTTTTTTAAAAAAAAATTGTTTTTAGTTTAATTCTTGGGTTGATGCTTGTAATTGCCTACGGTGGGTTTCTTTAAAGCTAGTACTTAGAACCTCTAGGGAATGACTACTTTTTAGAGGTGTGTCCAGGTGTAACTGGTTTTTTGGTTTTCAGTCTGTGTATGATCTACCTGTTCAATTTGTTGGGGATGAGAAATTGGTTCCTGTTTGGCCCATCTTCTGGTTCTTTGGCATTGGCCCATAGTATTTGCTCTCTTTTTTTGGTACTGGGAATCAAACTCATTACCTTGTGCTTGCCAGACAGGCACTTGTGTCTCTGAACTATATCCCCAGCTCCATGGTATTTTCTATAATCCTTAGGCAATCTCAGTCTTGGAATAATACCAGAAAGAACATCTGGTTAGAACAGTTATGTCACTTTGGCTATCGTGGTACAATCAACAATAACAATAGCATCAGACTCAAACTAGAAAATGACAAAGTAAAGTAACCATTTTTTTTTAAAGTGAAGTAAGCATTAATTTGCCATCTTTAACTATATGAGCTAGATTTGTGGTTATATAACAAAGCCTAAAGCCAGAAAACTATATGCAGTAAATCCTTAATATGTCAGTTTCACCCTCAGGGGAAAACATTTAAAACAGGTTAGGGGAAAAAACAGAGCCCCAGAAGAAGAGGCAGAAGGTAGAGCAGGGCATGAAGCCGCGGGGATCACGCACTTGGGAGAGCTGCGGAGGGCCGGAGGGCAGAGGGAGGGAGGAAAGGAAGAGCAGAGCCGAGCCGGAGGGAGCTGGCCGGAGCTGGCCCGAGCTGGCCGGAGCTGGCCGGAGCTGGCCGGAGCTGGCCGCACGGTCCCGCTCATGCAAATAAGATCAGTGAAGGAGAAATAGCAAGAACAATGACAAAGAACACGTGGGGAAAGAGGGCGAGGGGACGAGAAAGGTCTGCTTCCAGGGTCGTCTCCGTCACCCGCAGGTCGCTGGGGATTTATTCCGTGGCTGCGGCGGGGTAGTCTCTGAGCTGGGGACCAACTGGAGCCTCGCGGGGTGCTGAGGGCTGGACCAGGCAGCTCTGATTCTGGGCTCAGTTCGCCCCTCCAAGGTGGCGCGTGGCCAGTCACTCGGGACGACCGAGCCCGCAGCAGTCACCCCCGCTAGTGCCCACCTTAGGTCCAGCCGCGGCTGGGGAGCTCTGGTGTCCCCGCAGTCACTGTGCCTGCAGACCCGAAATGCTGCTCTGGTGCCGGGCGTGCCGGCTGGGAGGAGGAAGGCCCCTCTGCAGCCTCCTGTCTGCGGACGCCTCCTCTTTTCCCGCTCCCCGGGGTTCTCTTCTCGGGGAGCCCACCTGCCTCCTGCTCGCGTTCACAGCTCTCGGGCTCTTGCGAAGTCCTGGGTGGCACGCTGCCACCTCGCTGATAGTCCTCTGTCTCGCTGACGGTCCTCTGCTGGGCTTTTTCTTACTTCTTCAGTCTCATTGGCTGTTGATGATCTGACCAGATTTTTATGTACTCTTGGTTCCATTTTCTTTTCTTTTTTTTTGGCAGAACCCGAGATTGAACTCAGACCCTTGCACTTGCAGGCAAGCGCTTAGTCTTCTAAGCCATCTCCCTGGCCCCGGTTCCATTTTCATATATTGTGTGTGTTCAGAAATGCGTACTTTTCGGTTCTCTAACTTATTAGAATATAGGTTGGCCAAGTAGTCTCTAGCTTCTTGATTTCAGTGGTGTCCCGTTTCCCCTTTTCCATCTCTCATAGTATTGATCAGGATCTTCTCTCTCTTCTAGACAAACTTGCTAAGTGCTTAACAATCTTGTTTATATTTTCAAAGAACTAACATTTTGCTCGATCCTCTGGATCTTTACTTTTTGTTTATTTACTTTTTTGAGACAGCATCTCCTCAGGTAGCCCAGGCTGGTCTCCATCTTGAAATCCTCCTGCCTCAGCCTCTTGAGTGCCAGGATTACAGGTGTGCACCACCGTGTCTGGCCGTCATCTTTATTTCCTTGTATTAGATTTGGTTTGGTTTGTTCTTGTTTTTCTAGTAACTTGAGATGCATTGATTAGGTTGTTCCAAATCTCTGATTTGTTTGTTCTTCTCTAGGCTCTCCTAGGCTTAAACTCCCCTCTTAAATGGCCTTGCTGTGTCCAGGAGAGTGTAGTGTGGCCGTGCCGCTGCGGTTTCTGCTCTGAAGCGCACCTGCCCTGTGGAGGAGTTGTTTTCAGAGCCATACCCTGCCCGGATTTGCAGCCTGCAGTTGCCCCAGCTTTTCCCAGGCCAGTGCTGCTGTCCTGCTGTTGGGTCCAGGGCAGCGGGCTGTCTCTGGCTGCCGCCGGGCCCTCTCCACCTGGGCCCCAGGACTGCTGGCCTGCTGCCTGTCCCTTGTCCCTGTGTTTCTTTCCTGTCTCTCCAGCTTTCAGCTTCCTGGTAGCCGTCCTGCTGTGCTTGCCAAGCACGCAGCTCTTCCTGGTGGCCTTGATCCCCCCTCCCAGGAAGCTGTCACCCACTGCCTGCTTCTGCCTGCCATTTGAAAAAGTGTAGCCTCTTTCATTTCCTTGAACTTTCTACTTATTACTTCTGAGGTGCTGTGGGGGGAACCAAGGTCTCCCACTGGGCAAGTGCTCTACCACTGAGCTGCACACCCAGTACATATTTTTCTTTTTAAAGATGAGAATAGCTAACTGTAGAAGAAAAATGATGATAGAGTTAGAAACCTGCCTTGCTTTTTTCTTTTTTGCCACAATGTCTTGCTATTTTGACCAAGCTGGTCTAAAACTCCTTGGCTCAAGTCACCCTCCTGACCCAGCCTCCCAAGTACCTGGAATGACTGGCATGGGCCTTGTTGGTTGACTTAGAATCCACTACTTTTAAGCCCTCAGTGGAATAACTGACTGATGGTTGGATGAACTAATTTGGAGGCAGTACGTTCGCATGGCCTTAAGCGCCGCCTCAGTTGGGGAAATTCAAACACTGACGCTGTGCTCCACGGTGGCGATGGTCCTGGGAGGTGGTGCCGTGGTAGGGTGGCGCCGAGGTGGCATGGCGTGTCCTCTTGTCTGTGACACGCGGGTGGCTGACCGCTGCCAGCTGTGTGTAGGGTGGAGGAGAAGCGTGGTAAGATCTCAGCCACTGAATCAAATGCAGGCTCTGCCAGGTTCGTTATCATCTTGAACAAAGTTTGAGGCCAAAATGTCTTTTTGACCCGTTCCCTGTGTGCTTCCTTGAACTCTTAGAGTGCAAGTGTTGTGCGTTGTCCTCACTCTTTAGCTCTTTTGCCCTCGAGCTCTTTGAGGGCTGCGCTGTGTCTAGCCCAGGGTGGTGGTGCAGGCCTTGCCGGTGGCCTCCAGACTGAAGCCAAGGACCGAGGGTCAGGGACTGCAGCTCGAGCCTGGGCAGCTTGCCCTGAGTCAGAAAGCAAGACGACGCCTGGGGTGGAGGCCTCTGCAGAGGCCCTGGGTTGAGGCCCAGTGTGAGAAGGAAGGGCTGCGCTTTGCAAATCACGCCAGGCGTGTAGCAGGGCAGGGTGGTGTTTAGGGTTTCCTCAGAGAACTCTGGAAGGAAGGGCTGTCTGTGTCCTCGTGCATGTTGATCTGTTACCCAGCAGCAGCATCCCCGTGCGGCTGTGGGCTCCGATTCTCGGCACTTCCTGGGCTAGCTCCGGTCTGGAGCTGGCAGATGGCTCCAACCGCACAGTTCCTAATGCTAAACCTCTTTCTTTGTGGCAAAGTGCTCATGACTGAGCCCAACAGGGCGATGCCCACGTTTGTGATGCATGCCCCAGGCCCTGAGAGGGGCCCTTGCTGCCTGGTTTTGCTTTCACAGGGCTTGTACTTTTTTTCCTCTTCTAGTATGGGACTCAGGGTAAGCCTGAAGCTTTGCTCATGTTAGACATTTAAAAACGTTCATTAGTGCATGTTGGTTGTCCCTAAAGATCCCCTTCCTCGTGGGGAGCGGCACGTGCACATCTGGACCGTCTGTGCTTTTGTTTCCCACCTCCAGATGAGAACGGAAGTAAGCTTTAAACTTTGTTAGTCAAAGTACCCTACATCCTCATTTAAAAAAAAGTTACCCAGAGGCCTTTGGCTCTGGATGAAGCTTGTCCTGTCCTCTGTAGCGCATCCTGCATTGCCAGGGCAACGGTTGCTGGGGCATTGAGTTTGGGAGGCGAAGGCTGCGTGTGTGGGATGTGTTCGCCCTCAGTGACGCCTTCCCCCTTGCCTGCGTTTCAGAACTTAAAGCAGCAGTACTACACGGGCTACTCAGAGGGCGAGGTGTTGGAAGTCATGCAGCACATGGCCAAAAATGTGGTGAAAGTCAACGAAAACTTGACCAAATTCATTGTGAGTACTGCTGTTTGGTGTGGGCTGCAGATGCCAGGTCCTGCGCGGCTCACGTTTCTGTGTCAGTGTGTTGCTGACGTGTGTGGAGGTCCGACTTGGGCACAGATCTCTCCTGTGTGTTCTCCTGGTCAAGCGGGGATGTGTCTGGAGCTGATGTGGCGAGTAGGCTCCGAAGCGAGGGTGGGAGGTGACCCTGGCCAGCCACCCGGCTTGGGCACCTAGCAGGCCGGGCTGGGGGGTGCCTGTGACTGGTGCCAGACGTCATGGAGGATCGGCGGGCCCGGGCCTCTCACCAGGCTGTAGTGTTGTGCCGGGAAGGTGGGTGAAGGGCGGGCATAGCCCAGGGCAGGGCCAGGACCAGGAGCTCCTGGGGTGGGGGCCCAGGTGTGTCCTGCATGGCTCACTGCAGAAGAGCAGCAGGGGCCAGCTTGGGGTCATGCTGTGCTCAGCAGGGGTCTGGCAACAAGGGCGTGGACGTGTCCTGCGGCGCAGCCTGTGCGCTCTGCTTCAGGTTTCGGTCTGCAGGTGTGGCCTGGGCTGAGTGGGCACTGGGTACCACTCCTGCACTGCCAGCTCTGCTGCTGGTCCTGATGTCTGCTGTGGCAAAGCTTGCCCACCCAGGCCTTCTGGTAGCTTGGGAGACAGAGCCCACTGCCTGGGCCTTGACAGTGCCTTCCTGTCGTCTACCCCCACCCATGGCTGGTGGGGTTTTGCTTACTCAGGTGCCAGGGGCTGGTTGGGCAGTCGATTGGGAGCCAGGGCATCACAGCACCAGCTGCAGATGGTGGGGGACCCTCCGTGACCTACACCCAGTGAGGGGCTTGGTCCCGACGCGCTATTCCCTTCCACATCTGCAGGCCATCAAGAATAAGTACGCCAGCGGCAAACTCCTGAAGATCAGCACCATTCCACAGCTGAACTCCAGGGCCGTCAGGGACCTCGCCTCCCCGCTGATGGCCAAGCCCTGAGCTGCTGGGCTGCACCCGCACTTGGGTTTTTCTTCCATCCTTTTCTTTCTTCTCTTCTCTTTTCTTTTTTTCTTTTATTTTTTATTGGCTAGGAACTCTCAATTTGTAAGTAGTCCTCTGGTCTTTCATGCAATGTCTTCTCAGACTATTTTTCTAAATATACACTAAAAATAAAGCTACCGATTTTCCGTAAGGTACTCCATACATCTGTGTGTGGGCTTTGGAAATCAGTAGGAACTTGTGGTTTGAGTTGCTCTGAGCAGCACGGATGTTTTTTTGCCTTTCTGGCTTTGCGAAGGACTTGCCTGCCAGTTTGTCTCGAGCGTGGCTCACTGGCGTCAGGGCCACCCCTGAACTCTGAATATGAATTAATTGGTTCATTCTGAAAATTGAAAATGGAGGCTAACCGTGACAGTTTTCTTCTGGGACTTCTTCCTCTCTTCTGTAATAGTTCTGCCCAGGAATAGCTGGTCCAGATGGGTGACAGGTACCTGATGAGCCCTCACGATGTGTCTCCAGCAAAGTTGTGGGACAGGGACCGGCCAGATAGCTCAGCAGACTGCCTGCTTAGGGAGGTGCAGGGTCCGGGGTTGGATCCCCAGTGTGCCTCTCCAGCCCTGCCCCCAGGGCATGCTGAGACCCCGACTGAGACGGTGTGGTGGTGCATGCCTGTGATCCCAACCCTTGGGAGGCTGAAAACAGAAGGATCACTGTGGGTCCAGTCTGTGTAGTGAGACCCTGTAGACATGGTACTAAAATACAAAAAAATGTTTTGGGACAGAGCAAGGAAATGGGCTGTGACCTCCTGGGAAATGTCACACTTGGGACACATTTTCCTGCTAAGTGGCTTCAGTTGTGTAGGGGTTAGATGTGGGCGTGGGGGCCTTTGGCCACATTTTCACCTTGCTTTTGCTGTGCTTTCTGCAGTGCTGGGGCTGCACCTGTAGGCCTTGCGCATCTGAGCTAAGTACTCTGCCGCTGAGCTGTTCCCCTTCCCTTCCGTGCTTTTGACCGAGAGGCTTCTCCCGTCTCTGGTCCCCAACATAAAAGTGAAGAAACACCATGGACTGTGTTTCTCACGACAGCTTCCAAAAGTGAGTCTCAGGGAGGTGCTGGCTGGTGTCTCTTGAAGGAATTAGGTAGATCCGGGAAACCTTGCAACCTGTTGGACTTTGGGCCTGTGTCAAACTCATGTACTGTAGCACGTTCCCAGCCCTGTGTGTGGCAGGTGCTGCCATCTACTGGACAGAGCCAGGGTCAGTGCTGTGGTCAGGTCTGACCAGGACCGGGCCGAGGAGAGCTCAGCTCTGCTCCCTTCCTGAGCCGGCCAAGGTGCCGAGTGGGGAATCTAGAGGCACGGATGTCTTTGTGCTGAAATCCTTTGGCAGGGCCTATAAATAGATAGCTGTGCTGAGTCCGTGGAGCTTGTGTACAGCTGGAGCACAGCTGGAGCACAGGTGTGGCTGGGGGCAGCAAGCCTCGGGGTGCAGACTTGCCAGCTGCAAAAGCGACATCCTTTTGCGGGAAAGCTCAGCTTAATTTCTTTCCAAGAAGAGGTGGACTCTTGGATATTCCAATGACATTGTAAAGCTTTCTTATTACATGTTTTTCTTTAAATATTAGGTACCCTAGCTCAGGAAATTCTTCTAGGATGCTATAAAAAGGCCTTTAAGATACTTGCTGTGCTGGGGACACAGCTGGGCTGGGTCCCCTGAAGGAAACACCTCCCCAAGTGCAGCAGCGGGCACTGTGAGCTAAAGTGTTCCAGTGTATGGCGGTTAATTTTGACTGCCAACTTGATTGGTTTGAGATGCCTCTCTGTGAAGTAAGCGGACAAAGTAGAAAGCAATGCCATAAAACACTGAATGTAGAAAACAAGAACTTAGGAAGGGCGTAGGCGGGCACGTCTTTCCTGTAGGGTGCGGGCACTACGTAAGCGTGCCCCGTGCCCGGCACAGTCTCTGGTCAGGGGGAGGTCCTTGAACTCCAGCTGCCAGTACTTTAAAAAGTGTGATGGTTTGGGAAAGAGGTGGATTACGGGGGTGCAAAGACATGTTAGACCTAGCTCTGCCCTGCAAAAGGAATTTACAGATGTACGGCTACCGAGTCCTGTTTGCAGGTTGTTGTTGTTTTCCAGGAGGGCCATAAAGGGAAATCAGGCTGGCACATCAGGCCGCCAAGTTCCTACATGTCTGTTTTATCAGGGGCAGTGGTTGTAAGCAAAGTCCCCGTGTGACCCTGGGCAGAGCCCGGACAACTTTGTGGTTGGGATGCTCAGAACAGGAGGGCACAGTTCGGTAGGAGGCAGCCACGTGGGAGCGGTAACGCCAGCCGTAGATCCAGGCTGCGCTCTGCTAGTCAAGCCTCGGGAAGGAGGCGAAGCCGGAGAACACGGCGCCGCGTGGTGGTTGGTTTTGACTGCCAACTTGGTTGCCTCGAGATCCTCGCACCAGGTGGTGGTGGGGTGTGGCCTCGAGGCACCCTACAGGATGGCTGTTGTGGCCCGCTTGGAGCCGGCTGGCCGTGCACGGGAGTCTGAAGCCCTGAGCCTCCCGTGAGCTGTACGTGTGGGGGGCTTTGTTCCAGCAGTGGGAAAGGCGACCAGGTCGGGGTCAGTGGCTTGAGTGGTGCCTGCTCTTGACCACAGAATTGCGAGGTGCCAGGAATCAGCTGCACTGTGTAGACTCTGTTGGTTGCCCTGGAAACCAGATTCCAGTCCCACCACTAAGGAAGCCGTAGTCGGGGTGCCACATGCACAGTAAATAGTGGCTAGAGGCCGACTTGGTCAAGGGTGGTCAGGAGAGGAGTTTGGGACATCCTCCAAGGCAGAGCGGGTTATGCAAAGGCTGGGTGCTGTGGCAGCCAGTGCGGACTGCAGGTCTGGTGCGTGTGGACCCGTGTCGTTTCCGTTGTCCATGTGAGCATCTCCCCTGGGAGCGGCCACGCCCCTGAGGAGGATGAGGTGGAGGGGACAGCAGCTCCGTGGGCCCAGCCCAGTCCCACTACTCCTGAGCCCACATGCCTACCTTCTGGCCTGCAGGAAGTGATAGGGTTTTTTAGGTGCATGGCACAGCAGAGAAACAAGAGGAAAAAGGGAAAGGGGCTTCATTTTCTTTTTGAGGAAACGGAATTTGGGGAAGATAAGGAATTCTCTCAGTTGGAACAAAGGGAGGCTGAGGCTTTTATGGCCATTTGCCAGGTGTGGGGTTTGGAGGGGATGTTTAGATAGACCTGAGGGGCTGACTGGGGTCTTCCCTGAGGCAGCGGGTGGAAGTAAATTATGTCTTAGGCTAAGTTAGAAAAGAAGGGGGAGGTGGTCTTGGGAAGACAGGCTTTTGTTTTAAGGGCATCAGCCATATTAGATGATCACCATAATGATTTTATTAATTTCTACTAGGGCCCAAACCTCTCTTCTCATCTTTTGGTTATGAAAAGGGGCGTTGTATCGCTTAGACTGCTTCCTGCTAAATGGGGGTGTCATCTTGGGGTGAGAAGGGTTGATGAGATGACAGTTTCCGCCCAAGTAGAAGTTATTGTCAGGTGTCTTAGCTAGGACTAGAAATTTATCGTTAGTGAGGGCTCGCCTCAGAGATTGAAGGAAACTTGAATAAGTTTAAAAAGACACATGAGTACATGTCGTCATGATTAAAGGACTCAGAAGGACAAGCAGGGCGGCTATGAGCTGAGTGTGTTATTTTATCATGACTATGTTGAAGAAGAGGAGTATTAATTTTTAGTTTTTGACATCAATGTGAGGAAAGGGAAATGGGCCATCTGTAAGACATGGACACGGCTGTATTAAGGGGCCTCAACAGAGGTATAAGGGCCGGGAGATAGCGCAGTAGAATAAGTGCTTCCCTGGCACGCGCAGGGTCCTGAGTTCAATCCCCAGTACCACACACACACAAAAGTCAATCAGGTACAGAATAACGTAGCGGGATTTTGAAGGCTATAAGTGAAAATAGTGATAGAAGGAGTCTCTATGAACATTAAGTGGATTTTTTTTTATATGAGGAGTCATTAGGGCTGGAATTGTCTTGTGTGTGATGAGCTCACTGAAGTGAGTCGGGGAGTAGACTGTGGCAGATTATCTTAAAGTGAACTTTTTGTCTTGTGTTAGTGTGGCTGCTGTTGTGTGTGGAGACATGGAGTCTGTGAGCTGTGTTGTCTAGTTGCTTAGAAAGGTAGGCTACTGCCTGAAAGGGTGATCTCATTTATGTCTTAAAACACCCACTGCATTGTGACCCTGAGAGGTGGTGTATAGGGTAAAGGGCTGAGTGGGGTTGGGTAAAGTGAGAGCTGGGCCCTTAGGCGGGCCTGTTGTAACTTGTGAAAGGAGGAACATATAGGAGCAGTGGGGTCAAGGGGCTCTAACAGGGAACCCTTTGATGCCCTAGAGAGAGGCTGTGCCAGAGAGGTGAAGTTGGGAACCAGAGGTGGAAGAAATTAGCCAGACCAAGGAAGGACAGAACTTGCTGTTTTGTGATGGGCACCTAAAACTTATGCAGGAGAGCTTTGCGGTCAGCAGTGATCGCATGAGTAGTGGGAATGAAGGGGAGTCCTAGATATTTGACTTTTGGCGTGGCTATCTGAGCTTTGGAGGGAGAGACCCTGTAACTTAATCTTGACAGGAAATTGAGAAGAGTAGCTGTGTGTCGCAGGGCTAGGGCATGCGAGGGAGAGCAAAGGAGGAGGGCGTCTGTGTATTGGAGGAACAGGCTGGGCTTGAGGCCAAGGGGCTTGAGATCAGCAGCAAGGACTTGGCTAAAGAAACGAGGACTGTCTCAGAACCCCTGAGGCAGGACTGTCTACGTGAGCTGTTGAGATCGGAGAGTGTCTGGATCAGTCCATGAGAAGGCAAAGAGGTCTGGTCTGGGCATTTTGGGTGTATAAGGGAATGGTGAAGAAGGCGTATGGGCTGGAGTCTCTTGATGTTTGGGGCTCTCAGGTATTGGGGAATGTAGGGAAATGCCGTGGGCTCTTTGAGGCACATTAGTATAGCAATGGCACGTGTGGCACGTGTGGGACTGGAAGTGTCTCAGAGTGTGTGGTCGACAAGGGAAGAGGGAGGGAAGAGCTGGCTGTGTAGAGAGGTTGGGTTTGTAGGATGTACACTGTGGGGAAAGAGAGGGAAGAGAAGTGGAGCTTTTGGAGGAGGTCTGTCCCCATGAG